TCTATCTATCTATCTGTGTGTGTGTGTGTGTGTGTGTGTGTGTGATGGGGACAGTGGGAGGATGTTGAGTCAGGATACTGATCATTTGATTATTGCATAACCTATATTCAGAAATCTATTAGATAGCAACTCTTTCTGTCGCCCACTCTTTTTTAAAATCTTCCTGTGTGCATATACGTGTGTGTTTGTGTGTGTTGCCCATTGAGTCGTGATTGCCAGAGGTCCACAGCCTGAATCCCACACATCCTAACCAGATTAAAGCTGGGGTTTCCAGTTGGCCTATACCTTCCCATCCTACACTACTCTATAAATGACTTCTCAGATAGGCCTGTCACTCTGTGGGCCTTTCAGGCAACGCTAACACAAGTTATACAGCTTTCACATCCATGGTGAATAAGCTGGATGTTTTTGCTGTGTGTGCTGCATTCAGAGACAGTTCTGGAGGTTCTGTAGATGTGTTTCCACGGGCCCTGCTTCTGAGTTCATATTAAGAATCATTTGAGTGGTAGAAAACATACCACTCAGACTTTACATTTACAACAGACCTCACATGAACTTACGCTCAGTCTCTTTGTGTGCCCATTGGTAACAAGCAAGATAAAATGACACTTCTCATGTGCAGTGATAAATGGACTAGTAATAACACCCTTCCTACGCTACCAACCAAAAAGTAGTGATAAAAGTGCTAACTCTCGTACCTCTTCTATACGCATTCAATGTGATAATCACATAATGTCAGTACCTAGCTGTCCTTTTTCTCAAAAAAGAAAACATGTAAGAGTAGTTTCTTTACCCAGAGAGCTCTAATTAGGTACCATTGTAAAGATGTGTGGTATGTATATGTGAGTCATGACGCCTGAAAGCCTCATAATAATGTCTGTGCTGAGGTCGGGCGAGACTCAGAGAGATTTGGGGAGAACATACAAAACCTATTTTTTTGAGTAGAAAGAACTGCTCCTAATAAAGCTGGTAGGGAAGAATAAGGCTAAAACCCACTTAAACATAGTAGTCAGTGGACTAATGAAAAATATAATCATCTGAAGACCTGTAACCTTTTTTCCTATTATGCCATTCAAGGGATCAGCAGTGGAAGTGGTTCCCCACACCTGCTGCTCTTCAGTCTTCAATCATCAGTTCATCCAGGCCAAAGCTGCACACTCACATGTATTTCCTGCCAGCATTTATCAGTGCGTATTATCCTTCTTTCTGTCTAGCCAAAAAGAAAAATAACAATATTTGATCAGAAAGAAATGGTAGCCTATTGAAGACTGTTGAAGCTCAGACCCCCTTGTCATTAGGCCTGTTGAGGACGCAGTAGGCCTTGCCTAATGGGGTCAGGTATACTTAAACTTCTTACTATTTTTGGAAAACAATGGGTCCTTCATTTCAGACAGAGGTACAACAACAAACAACTGACAAATTAATGTCAGCTATAACTACTAGCTCATTACGCTAATGTTAGCTGCATGAATTGATTGTAGAGGCTTCTTCCAGCAGACTGTCAATGTCTCCAAAATTCATTTAAAATGAGAAAAATCTAAGAGGGGTCATAAATATGTGCTCCATGGCTTCATGCATGCATGTGTGTGTGTGTGTGTGTGTTGGTGTGCATGTATATGTAAGTGTTGTGGAGCAACAAGGAGCAGTGGTGTATAAACTGAGAAATAGAAAAGAGAAGAGGAAAAGAAGAAGAAGAGAGAAAAAAGGCAATTGACAATAGTACATTGTTCTTGTATTGCTGGTTTGTCCTGTAATAAGGGAAAATGCTTTGGTTTTGGTTTTTATACCAAGCATAATGTATAATTATGATATTTTGGAAATTATAAGAATATATGTGAACACATATCACTCAAAACATTGCTAAATCTGGTTGAATGTTAAGAGCTCTTATTGTTGAGCTGAGCCAAAATGTCACTAAATTCCCATCACTAGGATCAAAGGCACTGATGTTAGCCTGAACTGTGTTAGCTTCCACATAATGGGAACATACAATTCAGTGAATGCACCTGTTGTGAATTGGGCTTTCAAAGTAACAAAAACCTCACAAAATAATATGCTTTAGACTTGGAAGTACAGTGCTGGGTTACTACTCTAGGCCTGCTATTAACCACATCTTCAGCTAATGCAGATAAACACTTGTTGTGTTCTTGGTTTTGAAAAAGGACTGAAGAAAACACAACCCTGCCAACTCTTTGTATGTGTATCACTCTTGCTACAGTAGCATGCACACCACTTCAACATCTGGTTACAGTTACTAAGCTACGGTTGGACTATTGATAATTATCTGTCACATACAGTAAAGCTGATTGTGTAAAACTGTTATGTTTCACTTTGACAATATCTGGGGGTCATATCAGTGAAGCAAATTTGAATAACATCTGTGAACATTTATCAAAGGATGGAGAGTGAAAGAAACATATTTTGCAAGTTAAAAATGTTTTATGCAAATGATTTTGTCAATTATATTGTTTTGTATTGTTTGGTTGATCTATAGTATATTTAATGGCTGTTTGTTCATGGTTCTCTTTCTGCAATAAGCCGGTCTGAACTTTGCCTCTCTGCTGTCTCGTGCTGGGGAGTTCACATTGCAGGAAACTGCAGCCATTTTCACTAGCTGTGTGGCCCCAATGACATTATTACACGTGCAGTGGCACTTGGCATCTTGTGCTTTGTTATAGCAATCATCGCACACACAGAGACACACAGACAGCCACACACACATCCAGCCAAACAGATGCTCCTGCCTCTGTTTGCACGTGGGGAGGATTCACATATGTTCCTGTTCTCATGGACTGCTGAAACGTGATGCTGTTTTTCTTGTCCTTCGCAGGAACAATTGTTCTGCTAAGACCACTCAAAACAGTAAGCCTCCAGTTCTATAAACCCATGCATTGTGTATGTGCTGCCCACACAAAATTATAGGATATATGGAAGGTCTGACTTAGATTCTCAGGAGGAAAATAATACATTTGTTCAGTTTTCATAAATGTAAACATGCCTACATCTCCTTTTGACTAATCTTCTCTTTTATGTTTTGAGGAGTTTTCCTTGCAAAGCCCACTGAGACACATACTGTACATAAACTTAACTTGTCTGGCTAGTTTGTAAAGGTATCATCTGGGACAAGGCTTGTCTTCAAATATGCAAGCATCTTATCACCTCCTCCTCTGCTATAATTTTAGACCCCCTGACTTTGAAAACACAAAACCAGTAGGATCAGAGCGTCCACTAACTGCTGTCATCACACCATGTCCTGACTTTCTATGATTTTTAGTCATGAAGTGGCAAGTCTACACCTAGCACATGGAAAGGTGTGTTTGTCAACAGTCCAATCAGTCACTAGTTCATAGCAGCAGGAGCGAGATCATGCCAAAGAGATAAGGATGGAAGGAGGCAGGCGGCTTGTCACGCAGTTAGATGACAGACATTTAATGACAGCAATGGAACAAGCACACAAACACACACACACACCACAGCACAACACACACAAACACCACAACCACACACACAAGTTTAAAAGAATTATACACTAACAGCGCTGTTAGGAGTTAAGAAGCAGTAAACCCATGGTCCCTAGTAATGACGTGTAAATATCTGTGATGGGTTAAAAAGATGTACACTTATGTAATATTCATGAGGATGGCCAGGAGGTCTGGCGATATGATACATATCACGATTAAATAAAATTCTGTTTTACAAAAAGCAGGAAGGCTGAAAGCATACTAAGTGACGTGTTCTGTCTGTCTGTCTGTCTATTGATCCCCTCCACTCTGTTTCAGCACTAAGCAGCATCCACACACACACGCCTAACCTTATCATTTCTCTATTTCACAGCACATGCCCACTTGCTTAGCTGTGGAGCTAACAGTAATCCAGGGGGCCCCTAGGCTATTTGATTGGATTTCATCACTATCAAAAATATATGATTGTTGATGATATGATAAACGTAAGCCCCACAGCTACGCAAGTGGGCTGTGAAATGGTGGAATGAAAAAAATAAATAAATAAAGTTAGATTATCTTGTTATCATGCAAAAACGGGTTGTTCTTGAGTGTTCTTACTTAGGGCATTAAAAAAATAATTGCAAGCACAGCTGTTCCTGGCATCTGTGCCCTTGTATTTTTCATTTATATTTTTCACTATTGACCAAAGTCTTTCACTTTACTTTATTTCCTGCATTATAATGATTTTTTATGCACCAATATGCCCAATTTCCTGCAATTTATAGTGGAAATATCTTTATTTATATAAAGGAAAATAAATCAGACTCCAGCTGACCATTCAAAATATAATACCATATAATGCAGTAAGGGATCTCATACATTCTGTATCCCCCTCAAATATTTATTTTCTATAGATCAACTTTTCACATTTAATGTGACCTATTCATGTCAATGATTAATCATTTCCTTTTATATTTTAATAGCTCATATCTGTTTCGACAAGATTTCTGCTCATCCAAAACATACTTGTGTTTTGGAATGATGGTTAGAAATCAAGTAGATCTCAGCTACACTATATGGACTAAAGTATTTGGCCACCTGACCATAATACCAACATGGACTAAAATGACATTGTATTCAAATACATATACTTTAATATGGAGTTGGTCCCCCTTTTGCAGCTATAACAGCTATATAACAGAATGTTTCTGGAGGAATTTGTGCCCATTCATTCTGTAGAGCATTTATGAGGTCAGGCACTGATGTTGGACGAGAAGGCCTGGCTCGCAAT